CCCAAGGAGCCCATCGGTGGAGGTGAGCCCCCTGTTGCAGCCGGTCGACCTGTATGGGTGGCGGGCACCTGGCCTGCAGGCGCCACGCAACACCACCCAGTTCATCATGAACCAGATCTACGAGGACATGAGGCAGCAAGAGAAGCTGGAGCGCCAGCAGGAGGCGCTGCGGGCTCAGCAGGCCCAGGCAGGCGGAAACGATGCGCCTCCCAGTGGTGGTGAGGAAGACGCAGAGATGCAGGACACTTTGTATGGCTTTGGGCAGAATCCCTCTCTGGCCTTTAGTCCTGCCCCGGAGGAGGAGGAAGAGGAAAACCATTCTCCGGCCCCACAGCTGGTGGAGGAAGAGGAAGAGGAGAAAGATGAGGAGGAGTGTGATGAGGAGGAGTGTGATGAGGAGTGTGATGGGAAGGACGAAGAGAGTGAGGAAGAGGAGAGTGAGGAGGAGGAGGATGAAGAGGCAGAGGCCCAGGATGAAGAGGAGGTGGAAGAGGCTGAAGATGTGGAGGAGGTGGTGGAGGAGGAGGAAGCGGAGGAAATAGAAGAGGAGGAGGAGGGGCTAGAGGAGGAGGAGCAGAGAGGGGAAGAGAATCATTTGCCTCTGGAAATGCCCTTATCATTCCTGATGGCCGAGGAAGAGAGAGCGAACTTTATAGACTGTTCTCATTTAAGCCCAGAACAGGTCATTCCCAAAGTGTCACAGGAAGCTCTCCTCATGCTACAGGACACTGACTGTTAGAAAGGGATTTGAGGAATGGGATGGATTAGCAACATATTAAAAACTAATTAAAAGTGAGTTCCATTAATAAAAATATCCATGTAAACCCTTTCTTTGGCCATTATAAAAATTTTAAAAATTGGTGTGTTTGTGTGTGACTATGGGTGGGGGAAGGGGAGCTTTCAAACATAATTTAATTCAAAATGATTAAAGGCCAAATATTTTATTTACTACAGTTTGAATGTTTTCATTTGCTGTTTTCCTTTCTAGACATCCAAATTTTCTTCTTAATTCTGGTGCTACTGAAAACGTGTTGTTGTTTTTTTTAACACAACAGTCATATGGTTATCTACTTAATGGGCTTGAAATCAATGGCTATTTTAACTGTTACATCCATAAGGAGCACATGCCATTTCTACTGAATATCCATCAGTGCTCTTAACCTGATAACTTATTTTATTAAAACTATTTATTTAATCATTTCTTGTAGATGTTTCCAACTTCAGAGTTGATTTTTGAGGGCTGTATTTTGGTAGCCCCATTCTCGGTCTCCATGGCATTGCTCATTTACAGTTCTTGTTCCACAGTGCCATGGATCTTCCTCAGAAGAACATGAAGTTGCTTCTGTGGAACTGGTTCTCTGCCATGGCCTCAACAATCCATACCATGCATGGAGAAGATGCCCCATGGTCAGAAGTCAACTTGCACATCTAGTTAAAACCCAAGGTAACTGCAAGCAATGGAACATAGTTTAGATTTTGAAGCCTTCCTAGATATATTCCTTGTCGTAAGTTCACAGGGACCATAAAAATAATTTTTGCAGAATTGATTATTTTAAAGATTATTGACATTTTAGGGTAGAATACCATTTCTTTACTTATAAAAGAATAAAACAAAGATGTGTAAGTGCAAGCTTGCATGAGCTAATTTCTAATGTCACTACAGAAAATACATTATTCAAAAACAATAGCTTTCATTTAGACTTTTTTTTTAGGACTAATACATTTCTTCCTGAGCACTTAATTATCAACTTAAAAAAGTTTCCATACATAGCATATTTCCAGAATAGATGGACTCGATAGATGAAAAATTTAAGCCTGCCACTTCAAAAATTATATCTTTTGACAAACTGTACTTCTAAGTATAGTTTTAACCAACATTTAGTATTTATTTGGTGAAGACTGTATGGTGATTGATATCTTACCTGGATGTTGAGTTTTCCTTAGCTAGCCCAGTGTATTGCAGTTATCAGGGTGATAAGCTTAAGCTGTTGAAAAATAATAGAAATAAAAATAAAGTATTAAATGAAATTATATTGCTTCTCACTTCTAATTATTTAAATATCAGAAATCTATTCAGCAGTATACTTCAGTAGCCAACAGGATGAACAGAAGAAGAAAAACTAATTCAAGCATTGTAAGAATTTTTAAAAATATATATTTTTATTGATTTTTTACAGAGAGGAAGGGAGAGGGATAGAGAGTTAGATACATCGATGAGAGAGAAACATCGATCAGCTGCCTCCTGCACACTCCCTAGTGGGGATGTGCACACAACCAAGGTACATGCCCTTGACCGGAGTTGAACCTGGGACTCTTGAGTCCACAGGCTGACGCTCTATCCACTGAGCCAAACCGGTTAGGGCACATTGTAAGAATTTTTAAATGACACCAAACACTCCAAAATATAGCAGTGAATAACCAAACATTTATTTATACTCTAAGAAATAATTCCCTGAATGATGCAGTGTCTGAGTTCCCTATAAAAGTAGTTTAAAATTGGCTACCTATATGCATCAATGATGTATATATGAAGAGGGAAATCAAGAATTCTGCTTCTAGTCAATCCCAATACTGGTCAATAAACCTTTACAAGGCATAGCTCCAAAACACTTTATCCAAGATAAATATTCCCTAGGTCTTAAGTATGTTCTCATTAAAGAAACCCTTTCATTTAGGATTGAATTTTTTACAATCACATCTGGACAAGTCTCAATTTATTTTGCAAAATATTCTACTTTTAAATTAAACATTCAACACACCATCTCTACACACACAAAGCATTATCCACTAGTCATTGTAAAACATGTAAACCTGAGCAATGACTCAGAACTTCACCCTAGTTTATGTACCGTTACCCAAGAAATATTTACTGAACTACTAGGGGTTAAGCACTGTGAAGAGGGTAAGGGTACAATGATGAATAAGCAAACCCCCTACTCTCATGTTGCTTATAGTGAGGTAGAAAATAAAAACATTGGTAAATGAAGAGTTGGAAAAATTACTTGCTGCAACTATTCTGAAGGAAATGTACCACTATGAAAGGATATGTCATAAGAAAACCCAAGAGTGAAGCTGGGGGGTGTTTACTGTGGCCAGAGGAAGCTCTGAGTCTAAAGGCCGAGAGCTAGGAGGAGCTTGAGCCTTGGAAGAAGTGAGGACGGGGGGCCAGGGTGTTCTGAAGGAGTGGCCAATGAAAAGCGAGAGAGGTAAGCAAAAGCCATATTAACTGTTCATTTCTGTGCTATCCATACCTTCTGAATAGACACCAACAAAAATTAAAGGACAAAACATCTGATTTATTCACATTTTTTATTAGACAGGTATTGTGATGCTCGCTACTAATCCTGGACGCTGATAGGAAATAATTAAATCATATCTGGGGGTGGGGGATTTGGTCATCCAGTTCACCTATGACCCTTTTCAGAAACCTCCCTTACATGATCATGTAATGACGGCGCCCTAGGGATTACCGCTCAACATGACTGGAGCACCATAGTTTCAAACTCCCTTGGAGAACCTCTGCACCTCTTGTTCAGTACAACTTGATGATTCAATAGTAACAGTGTTAATATGGCTTAGAATACACCTAGTCATTCGTTTTAGAGGTAAGTATACACTTGAAGAAAACACATTAAAAAAATAAGCTCATTGTTAAAGTAATATCAAGTTTGTTGAGTGAACACAATGGTAATGAAGTGCCACTTAGTCATTTCTTTCAAGAATGGAGGTATTTTCTTTGTCATTTGTCAGAAAAATAACACAAATGATCAATTTATTTATAAGATCTGGGCTTGAAGAATCTTTGCTGTCTATTCTTAGATGTTTTTAGAGGTAGAGATTCTTATATTTTCCTTTTCTAGTGACTGACAACAACATTTGTTGATTTATCTTCATTACTTAGTCTTCACAGTACTAGTAAGTTAAAGAGATTTTTTCCTGTGAAAACTTAGCATTTTAAGGATGGCAAATATACTTAACATTTAGAGATCAACTCTGAATTCTGAATATATATGCATATAAAGACAGTAATTCCACCATAGTTTCATTAAAATATGGTGGAATAACCTGTCAGCTACACCAAATGTATAGCATCTTCAAAGAAAATGATACACATATCACCCCATATGAGTAAGGGAGTAGGATAAGAAAAAAAGGATTCTTGCCCTGGCCAGTGTGGCTCAGTAGGTTGGGCACCATTCCTTGCACAAAAAGGTTGCTGATTTGAATCTTGGGTAGGACCCATGCCCAGCTTGCAGGCTCAACCCCAGATAACATGCCTGTATGAGGCAGTGCATTGATGTTTCTCAATCTCTCTCTCCCTCTCCCTCCTTTCTCTCTAAAAATCAATAATATAGAAATTATTTTTTTAAGAAAATGGCTTATCTTTTAGCAGAATAATAAAATATGTGCAGCTATGTTGTTTATATTTAGGCAGGTTCAAATTAATACAGTCACAATTGAAAACTACTCTTAATGCTTCTGAATCACTTTGGCCTTGCTATCTGCGGATTTAGAGCAAAATCAGAAAGTGGCTCTAAATTGTTTTAGTACTAGCCTTGTTCTGCACCAGTTTACTTTTAGCACCTCAATGGAACATAGCCTCACATCAAGGTCAGCTGATGAAAGAGAAGAGTTTGGGCATCTGTGTGTTGGGACTGCTGCCTCAGAGACCTATAGCGGTAGCCTCATGTGTCTGTTTCCTCCATCCCTCTCAGGCCTATTGTGAAGACCAAATAACCAAATATTTAAGAAGAATTGCATTACAGACTTAACTGACTATTAATCATTATATACTAACTACATTTTATAATCAAAATTATCAACAATATCTCAACATGAGATCAGCCTAGATTCATTAACAAGGCTCAGGAAATCTCATCTCGTTGCAATTTTTTTGGACTGAGATAACCAATTATTTAGCTTTTACCACTGAACTAAGAATGAATCTACTTGTTCTTGAAATTTAGTTTTAGCTTCTGTATACAAATAGTGTACAAATGCAATGGTCTGGTGCCTTGATATTGGTACCAGCAATATTAGCACCACCTGAGAGTATGTTAGAAATGCAGATGCCTTAGCTCCAACACAGATCTACTGAGTTAGAATCTACCTTGTAGCAAGGCCTCTAAGTGGTATAGATGCACCTTAAAGACCCAGATGCTCTGTGGTTCAAGCATTGCAGAGCCCTCATAAGAATTTCATGTTTAAGATTGTGGTTTGTAGGTTCGAAAGTTCCATTATTTATTACTTTATTGTCCTCAGGAATGTTACTGACATTGGCCTTCTCATTTTCCTTATCTGTAGTATCTACCTCTTGGGATTAAATGAGAATATGAAGAGTAAGTGAGCCAATACTTAGCCAGTACTCAGAACAGTGATATTCAATATTTACCAGTTGTATTAAGAGTCTTATGCACAGATGAGACCATTTACATATAATGTAATATCTAAAAGTCACTTGTTAATGATTAGAACAACCAAAAATGTAAAATCTCACAAGATAAAAAAGTGATTGATTAACTTTGCCTTGTTTTTCCTTGGATAACTACAATCAGAAAATCTACTTTGAGTGGCACATACCATTGTACAGACTATGAGAACCAATTAAATCTCTGAGCTGGATTCATCCTCAAAATACACTTCCTGGCCTTTATGTCCTCCTCCCACAGCTAGTAAACGATGTTTCATTTCTTCCTGACATAATATCTTAATGTCTCGTGCTAAGAATTACCCATTTGA